TTAAACGTGGAACAGTGTTACCAGTTTTGGCTCAACAAATACAATGAATGCTGTCTTCAATTTATCCCATGTATGCCAAACAAACCATATCGCAAAAAACAACCATGGATGACAAAGGAACTTTTATCTCTGATTCGTCTTAAAAAGTCACTATGGGCCCGCAATGTCAGCTCAAAATGGAAAATTGTATCCCTGGTCCATGAATATAAACAAACAAGAAAGTTTGTCAAAAAATTAAGTTGTTCTTCTCTGAAATCCTTCGAACTTGCTCTGGCCAACGATAAGCGCAACCCAAAATGACTTTTTTCATACATAAATAGTAAGCACTCTGTAATAAATCAGATCTCATCAATGCGGGTTACTAGTTTCAGTGAGATTATTAGCTCTGACAAAGTTACAATAGCCAACTCACTTAACAATCAATTTCAATCAGTTTTCAGCAAAGAGCTATCTGATGACAATATTCCTTTCTTTAGTCGTCGAACCAACTCAATCATCAACAGCATAACATTTGACTCTCAGGCTATTCTCCTGGAGCTCTCATCTCTTGATCCATCCAAATAGCTCGGTGAAGACAGCGTCAGTCCTTATGTCCTACGCTCGTGTTCTACTTCCATGACTACTCCACTTACCCTTATCTTTCAAAAGTCATTTGACAATGGTGAAATTCCAAGCTCGTGGTCTAAAGCAAATGTAACGCCTTTGTTCAAGAAAGGCTCTCGAATCGATCCAGCAAACTACAGACCAGTCTCCCTTACCTCAATCCCATGTAAAATAATGGAGAAACTTGTCAAAAAAGCAATCATGATGCATCTAAAATTGAACAGCCTTCTTTCAAATTGTCAACATAGCTTTGTAGAGAGAAAGGCAAGCGTCACAAATCTGCTTGATACAAAGGACTTTTTGACCGCGAATATGGCTAGAAAACTACCAGTTGATGTCGTATTCCTGGATTTTGCCAAAGCATTTGACAAAGTACCACATCAACGGTTGCTCTATAAACTAAAAATGTATGGAATTAAAGGAAATCTTCTTAATTGGATTAAAGCTTTCCTAACCAACAGATCCCAACGAGTTATCCTTGGTAACACTCAGTCGAATTGGTTACCAGTGACTAGTGGTGTTCCGCAAGGTTCAGTCTTTGACATCAATGACCTACCCGATGTCATAAGCAAAAAAAGCATTTGTAAAATTTATGCTGATGACACTAAAATCCTCAGCGTTGTCAATACACTTGCAGCTCAGCTTCAACTGCAATCAGACATTGATGAAATTGTTCTTTGGAGCAAGTCTTGGCTCATGGAGTTAAACGTAAAAAAATGCAAAGTCTTGCACTTTAGTCAAAAAAATTCAATTCCCTTCGAATACTCAATGGAAGAAACTGGCTCTAATTCGATAGTGACGCGAACAAATTTGGAAAAAACCACCTCTGAACGTGACTTGGGAATCCAAATTACTAATGATCTTAAAGTGGAAAACCAATCTATCATCGCATCATGAAAAGCAAACCAAATGCTTGGTATTTTAAAACATACCTTCCAATGTCGTGATGCTTCTCTGTGGAAACAACTATACTCCACCTATGTCCGTTCTCTACTTGAATTTGCTATCCCAGCTTGGAACCCTCATTTGGTGAAAGACGAGCAAGTTATTGAGAAAATATAACACAGAGCCACAAAGATACCGCACAAATTGAAAAATTTAAACTATCAGTCTAGATGTGAAAAACTTGGTCTCACATCTCTAGTTGACCGCCGTAAACGAGGTGACCTCATTCAGAAATTTAAAATTGAGAAAAACATTGACATAATTAACTGGCATTTTCCTCCTATTACAATTCCGCCGAGAGCTAATCACAGAGAGAGAGATTTTACTGGGAAAAATATAACAACAATTTAACTCGTTTTAATTTTTTTAATAACCGAATTGCCAACACATGGAACAGCTTGCCAGATAATGTAGGCTACTCTTCATCTGTCAACAGCTTTAAAGCGAGACTTGATAGGCTTCAAAGTTACAACAGCTCGCAATTCCCTTTGATGGAAGTTGCATTATGAGCTTCACAAATGTTATCTATGATTGGACAATCTACATTTGTATTCTGTCAATTGTCTTTACATTTGTTGTAACAAATATATACTACTACTACTACTACTACTACTACTACTACTACTACTACTACTACTACTACTACTACTACTACTACTACTACTACTACTACTACTACTACTACTACTACTACTGCTACTACTACTACTACTATACCCGACGGGCATTTGTTTTTAATAGTTACGTTCTAAATGTGTTTTAAACGTCTTTTAAACGTCTTTTAAACATTAATGTTTAAAAGACGTTTAAAAGACATTTAAAATACATTTAGATCGTAACTTTTAAAAACAAATGCCCGTCGGGTATATATATATATATATATATATATATATATATATATATATATATATATATATATATATATATATATATATATATATATATATATATATATATATATATATATATATATATATATAGGTCGAAGCAGCGCAAAGAAATATAATATACATACCAACAACACGTAGTAAATATTTTAAATCCAGTCTCTTTTGTTCGTTTTTTTTTAAATCTGTTCAATTTAAACTTTGTTTTTAATTTATTTGTCATTAACCTGCGAAGACAAAAAATAAATTTAACCAAAAAAAAAAAAAAAAAAAAAAAAAAACACAGTAAAAATACACTCCAATCACAAATAAACTAAATTAATGAAATACTCAAATTACAAACTAACAAAAAATAATCAAATCATGGCAAAAAAAATGTAATAAACAAAATTCTAATTAAGATCTGAAAAACCAGACATGAATACAACTGAGAGGTTAGAGTTAGTAGACAAACCGATCTAGACTAATATAAATGTGATTTGATACTCAACAGATATATTGAAATATACCTGTTATATATTATGTTGAAATATACCTGTTATATATTATATTGAAATATACCAGATATATTGAAATATACCTGTTTAATACATTTGTCACACATTTTTTTGCGCAACTCCCATTAAGTCTAGAAAGTTCTTTCACCAGTTGGAAAAATACAAATTAGTATCTGGAGCAGCCACATCTTGTTTTCAGTAACGTTTTCTCTGTCTGCAGGCTAAATTAAATAAATCGCAAAATAAATAAAATAAATTGCAAAATGACTTAACAATAAAGCTGCAAAATGACTTTATAATAAAGCTATGATATGTTCAAACAATTTAATATCATCAACTATCAAATCCTGTTTACAAGCTATTTAAAAGCTAATCAAAATACTAGATAAACTCTTCTTAACGAATTTTACGTAGGGGAGAAATACTCTTCGACCATATAAACAGTTTATATGGTCGAAGGAAATACTCCCGACGGAAACATTAGCCCGTATTTTGACCTGCATAACATTTGTCGCATGTCGCTACGTCGTGAATAATAAAGTTCTGAAGTTCCTGGTGTTATAAAAGTAAATAAACTTATTGTAAAATTAAACAAAGATATGTTTAACAAGCTTAGTGTCAAGTTATCATCTGTTAATGCTACAGAAATAAATCCTAATAAAGGTAGGGTTTTTATTTTTTTGAGTTCTTATGTTATATCGATGGAGAGCTCTCTTTGAATAAAAACTTAGGAGAGAATATTTACTTTTAATGAGACTTACTTTCTCTAGAGAGAGTAAGTCTCATTAAAAGTAAATGTTATGTTATATCGATAGAGAGCTCTCTTTGAAAAAAAACTTAAGAGAGAATATTTACTTTTAATGAGACTTACTCTCTCTAGAGAGAGTAAGTCTCATTAAAAGTAAATGTTATGTTATATCGATGGAGAGCTCTCTTTGAAAAAAAACTTAAGAGAGAATATTTACTTTTAATGAGACTTACTCTCTCTAGAGAGAGTAAGTCTCATTAAAAGTAAATATTCTCTCTTAAGTTTTTTTTTCATATGAGAGTAATTCTCCCCTTTTCAAAATTAAATAATCAAAAAGAATAACTTTATTGATAAAGTGAACATATTTGGCGGTGGTCTGTGGTGAGAGTAATTCTCCCCTTTTTAAAGTTTTTGTTGTAAGAATAAGTTTTAATTTTTTCAAGTTTTATTTAAAAGAGTAAATCTCCTCTCTTAAGTTTTTTTTTTCATATGAGAGTAATTCTCCCCTTTTCAAAGTTAAATAATCAAAAAGAATAACTTTATTGATAAAGTGAATATATTTGGCGGTAGTCTGTGGTGAGAGTAATTCTCCCTATTTTAAAGTTTTTGTTGTAAGAGTAAGTTTTACTTTTGTTCAATTGACAAAATTGACAAAACTTGATCAAGTTTTATTTAAAAGGGTAAATCTCCTCTCTTAAGTTTTTTTTTCAGATGAGAGTAATTCTTCCCTTTTCAAAATTAAGTTATCAAAAAGAATAATTTTATCGGTAAAGTAAACCTATTTGGCAGTGTTCTGTGATGAGAGTAATTCTCCCCTTTTTAAAGTTTTTGTTGTAAGAATAAGTTTTACTTTTTTCAAGTTTTTTTTAAGAGTAAATCTCCACTCTTAAGTTTTTTTTTTCAAATGATAGTAATTCTCCCCTTTTTTTTAAATTAAATAATCAAAAAGAATAATTTTATTGATAAAGTAAACCTATTTGGCAGTGTTCTGTGGTGAGAGTAATTCTCCCCTTTATAAAGTTTTTGTTGTATGAATAAGTTTTACTTTTTTCAAGTTTTAATTAAAAGAGTAAATCTCCTCTCTTATTTATAAGAATCTTTTTTTTTAAAGGTTTAAACTAGATAAGTTAGATTTTAAAGGAAATCAATTTACATCAGTTTTTTTTCAGCATTTTTATCAATCAATCCATCAACTAGTTTAACAGAAATTCAGTTAAAGAAACCTAGGTAAAATACCTAATTTATATCAATAAGTAACTAAAGTATATAAAGTCCTAACTAAAAGTTGTTGTTTTTAGTTTTATGTGTTTTGCTTGTATGATGTCGTTTACAAGAAAAGATAACATGAAAAGACATGCATTACAGGCACATAAAACCATTTTTAGAGATAATCAATCCAAAGATAAAAGAACGCCATGTCATTATCAAAACTGCAGCCAAGTATTTTTTCAAAACGTCAAACTTATTAAACACATAGAGGAGTGTCATGAAGGTATATTTACCAAAGAATCTTACATTTTTTTATCAGAATCTGAAAAAGAGGAACTTAATAGTTATGTTTTTTTCAGTAAACAAACTGGTAGTTTTTTCACTGGAAAAAATATAAATAAAGATGTAAAAACAAGTTATTATATTTGTCAAAATGATGGTCATTCAAAACCGCATTGCTCTGTTAGTAAACCAGCAAGAAAAACTAATAAAAGGTACTACAGAGGGAGTGTTAAATCAGGTGCTTTCTGCCCTGCCAGGATGATTGTCAAAGTAAACATAAATGGTGTCACTAATGTTCAGTATATCAAAACTCATAACCACAGTATTGGTATTACAAATACCATGTATCAACCTATACCAGGTAATATTAAAAAAAACATTTCCGCTAAATTATCAATAGGTGTGCCTGTAAATACAGTTTATCGTGATCTTAGAGAAAGGTTTGGAGACAGACAAAATAGAAATGATGAAGATACTGTTTTAACTAAATCACATCTTCTTACAAAAAATAACATTTCTGATATCAGCAGAGCAGTAAAAAAAGGATGTCGGCTTCACCCTGATGATAGCGTTTCAACTTTTTTACTTGTTCAAAAGTTGAAGTCTGAAGATTTTAATAGTATTCTCGTTTATAAGTCACAAGGACAGCAAACTGTTATTGGCCCAAAGGTGTATGATGACATTGACCTTAATAAGGATTCCTTTGTGGTTGGTATACAAACAAAGCATCAACTATCAATGTTTGAAACACATTCATCTCAAATTGTTTGTATTGATGCTACACATTGTACCAATCAGTATGCATTCCCTCTTGTAACTTTACTATTTCGAGATGAATTTAAAAGGGGTTATCCAGTAGCTTTTCTTATTTCCAATCATGCAGATGAACAAACCATAACACCATTTTTAGAGGAAATAAAAAGAAGATGCAATAATTCTGTAAAAGTTAATGCTGTTATGACAGATGATGATTTGTCAGGATGGAATGCTTTTACTAATGTTTTTGGAGATGTGCGCCACTTGCTATGCAAATGGCATAAAAAACGTGCATGGCGCAATAAACTTCCTTTAGTTGGTCCAACTAATTTACAAGAAGAAGTTTATAGGATCTTAGAGACAGTCATTGACGAAAAAAACCCTGATGTTTTTTTATCAACTATGAATGGTTTTGTAAAGGCATATGAACATAAATGTCCTAACTTCATTAGTTACTTTGTTACATACTAAGCTCCACGACATCTAAAATGGACTTCTTGTTATCGCAACTTTCAACATGCAGACACTGATACTAATATGTTATGTGAATTATTTCATAACAAATTAAAAACAGTTTATATGGAAAGACGACCTAATAAAAGGTTAGACGATTTAATTAATTTACTTTTAACAATCGAAGAAAATAGTTATTGGCACCACAAAAGAGACACTATTTATCTTGGAACAATATCTCTCCCAAAATAGTATAAAAAAAGACATGAAAAAGGAATGTTGATTTTGATAAATGTATTAGTAAATGTTCATTAACTCAGTACACAGTTAAAAGTCAATCAAAAGATGTAACATACAATGTTGACATTCTAACTGAAGCTTGTTAGGAAAGTTTGTGTTTGGAGTCATGTATAAATCCAGCCTGTAATGGTTTGTGTGAGCATTTATATAGGTGTAGTTGTAATGACATTGTAATCCTTTACAAGCATGTTCATAAGTTACAATCATTTCTTCTGAGATCTCAAGAAAAAAACTGCCCAAAAGAATCTTTAGCTGTTGGTACAGGTAATAATCAAGTGAAGCAAAAATCTCAAACATTTATTAATGAGTCTGAAAGGTTTCAAAAAAATATTGATGAACTATCTACATTATTTTCTCATCTCATGATAATAAATTTGCAACTTCCTTCAATAAACAGACAACTGGAAGACATGATTAGACAGCTGAAGCCATCAAAAATATTAATTTAATTGAGATACCTACAGAGCCAACATCACACAATAACCTTTTAAATTTTGAACCAAATAAGAAGTTGGATAATCAATGGCAGCCTAATAAATTTAAGAGAACAAGAAAAGGAAATAGGAAAAAGGAAATAAAATCATATCAATATCCTGCACAAAACCAAAAAGAGGAGATAGTTCTGAAATTGTCTCAGCAACATGTTGATCTAATTCATGATAAGCAAAATACAAGAGTATGCGATAACATTGAACCAAGTGATTTCACTAACACTCTCATTACGTAAGCTTTCTTAAATACATATTCAAATATTTGTTACTAATCAATTTATCTCCAAATATTTTAGCTTTTAAACAAGTTGGTTTATTCAAGTTAATTGGATGTAATGGATAATATATTACAGAGTAAATAAGAAAATAAACTATATTTCCTTCAGTATATTAGTTATATTTGTGTGTAAAATATAAATTATTTGCATATATGTGTGTGTTTGTATATATATATATATATATATATATATATATATATATATATATATATATATATATATATATATATATATATATATATATATATATATATATGTATGTATGTATGTATTTAGGCATGGCGCTCACCAACTATCTTTTATTTCCCTTTTAACATTAGAAAACATTATACCATCTGACGTTTTGTTTAATTTAAAAAAAAGCACTCCAAGTTTTCAAAAAGGCTGGCTTCAAGATGAAGTAATAGGAGGTTTTCTGCATTCCTTAGAAAAAAGGTACCCTTTAATTAAATATTTAGGTCCAACTGAAGCATTAGCTTTCAGCTGTTCAAGAAGTTTAAGGCTTTTATGGAAAGATGTTGATACTAAAGTTATAGAACAAGTTTTTATTCATTTTAACCCAACTAATTCTCATTGGAATTTAATACATCTAAAAGTTATAACAAAAGAAGTAACTCTACTTGATCCACTCCATTGCATTATTATGCCAAATAATTTATCACACAATAAATCCATTGCTGTTGCTAAAGACCTTTTTAGACTAAAATTTAACATTTTAAACCCAACTGTTATTTCAGCCCCAAGTCATTGTTTACAGAAGGATAGTTACAACTGCGGTGTTTACGTATGCATTACATCTTTGTGAAGGTATCCCTATTTTTCAATAATGTATTGTATAATATATATTCATATGTTAGTATTTTTTTTAGTTGTCAATTTTGCAACTACTTTTTTGTTATGTTGCTTATAATTAATTCATATATAAATTCATTTATTTATTAACTATTTCATTTATTGCATAAAATTATTTAATGCTGTAATTGTCCAGTAAATTATAATTGTTAATTGCTTGCATTACTTATAATTTGCGACTATTCAAAAATGCATCATAACTTATGATGTATAAAAAAACCGTGTTATGATTCATAACACGATTTTTTATTTTCTGTATTTATATAAATTCATTTAAAATTGTGTTTTCAGAAAAAAATAATAATGATCCATTTAACGAAGTACAATTTCGTAAATATATTTACGAGACTTTATGCGGTAGGTGTTTAAAGAACCTTGAAAGTGGTTTTGAACGTTTTAGGAAATATTTTTGTTCTTATCCTTTATTATTTTGTTCGACGACAATGAATTAAATGCGATTCGGTTGGCGAAAAACAAATATATACCGTTGTTACATTTAGAAATTAGGAAATATAAAAAATATATGAAAAAGTCTATGAAATTTGAGATAGAGTAATAGATGTTGTTGTAGTGAATACAGGAATAACCTTTTTACATTATATTATTACAGATTTGCAAGAACACATCCTTTGAGAAGAACTATTGGGTGCAATGCACAAAATGTCCACAGTGGTATCATTGTGAGTGTGTCCATATTTCAATCAAAGATGCAGATATCAGTGATACTTTCCAATGTCAATGATACAATCCTATCAATTTTAAAAAAAGGCTATTTTCATAGCCACAAATCGTTTTAAAAACATTAAATGACATGAAAAATAAATAAATTAAACATAACTAGTTCAATTCTATTCTAATTACTGGACCGTAGCCCCAGGCGCCAAAATTGGGAGGGCGCAAATTCACCAATTGACTTAAAAAAATATGTTAGTTATTTATGTTTTTTTCAACGCCATTTTAAGTCTTTACGCCCAGGGCAATTTTCATTTTTGCCCCCCGACCCCCTCCTCGTTACTCCACTAAAATAAACAGACGCGGCGTAGTGCTAACACGCTTGCCTAAGAAGAAAGAATTCAGCGTTTCAAAGGGACCTCTGGGGAAGTTTTGTGACAGTGGTTGGGATAACTTCCTGTAAAATGCTCCTCCGCGATGCTCTGTAATAAGACTCTAAGGACTTCTTGAGGCACCTAAAATAAAAAACATAGGCAGGCCCTTTCAGAGGTTTAGAGAGGCCTGGGCCAGTTTTAAATTGGAGGCCCTAAGATGACATTTTGCGTAAAATGTAACACAAGTTGATGCAAAGCCAATTTAAGTCTTCAAATAAATTGGGACCATATAAGTCTGTAACTATTACAATAAAAACAGATTGTCAACTAAAGCAATTAAAGACAAACTGTCACTCATATACAAGGCCCTTTTTGTTTATTTTAGCAAGCCAACAAGCCGAGAAATTTGCTTGTCTACTAATAACACATTTCTTATGGAGGCCTGGGACGTTACTTTTCTTAGTGTAATTAGAAATTTCGAATTATTATTTTGATGTTTAAAAAATATATTTTGAAAATGTGAGGCCCCAACATAATCGAAGGCCTAGGCCATATGACCCATGTGGCTACCCTCTCGTAGGGCCTGCACATAGTTAGATTAATCTACATTGCAATGCATGTAGTTGTTGTTATTATTATAAGTGTAGTCATAAATGTTCACATACAATGAGTAGCAGGTAAATTCAGCGACCCCTCTAAAAACAACAAGTTTTATAAAAATTTGCTCTAAATTTTTAATCCAGCCAGGAGCCTAGTCCTCTTTGAAAAAAAAGGTCTAGTGGACTTTTAAGTCCAAGTAGTTTGTTCTGACGCCTTATTTTATAAAGGTGACCATGGGGCAAAGATTTTTGTAGATACATATTATCAACTATATCAAAACAATGTATTAGATTATAAATTTGGATTGGATCGCATCGTAAGTGCCAAGACTCAAGACATGTGATGGTAAATTTAACTTTTTAATCTTACCCAGTATAAAATTGTCTCACGCTGGAAGCTCATTTTGCGTTAAACAGATTCAACAAAGGCTATATTAGTTTTTAAATAAGAAGCCCAAACAGACACTGCATATTCAAGGTGCAGTTTTACAAACACTTTATTTAACTAGCCATATTTCCATCAATGAAAATGAATGCCTTCTTTAACATACCAAAATTTTTAAGAAATTTGTGAATGAATATGTGTGCTCCACGTGTGGTTAGATGTAAAAACAAATCCCAAATCACGCTCTTTAGTATAGCTTCTTAAGCATTCATTCATACCTTAGTTATTTTTTAAAAGTAACAGCTTTGATCATAGTGAATAAAAAAGCATTTTAAAATCTTTAACTTAAGCAACCAAGTGTTTTCATTTACAAAGCGTAGACAATCCAGCAGGTCTGCAGCGAAATTAGTGCGCGATAAAATTTTAGAAAAAAAGTTTAGTATCTTTTTTATCCGTAAAAATTTACATACTATGTAATGAATAAAGCAAGCAGCGATTATTTTTAAATAGCCTGTTTACTAAGCCACCTAATTTCTTTCAGTTTTTTTAACAACGTGTTGTGTTAAATTTTGGGGAGAGTGGCCCCCTAAAGTAGGCCCCCTTTTAAAAATGATATAATCAACTAGCTGCGCACAAAAAAAACTACAAACGATATGTTATTCAGGATATTTAATCTATGCTCTACAATTTTTTATCTAAAAATTAAAGATGCATACAACAAATAAACAAAAACGTTTTCCTAACCAAAAAATAATCTCTTTCCAAAAGTAAAATAAAAAACTAAACAAATAATTCAAAAATATGATTATATGAAAAAATAGAGAAAAAAAGTTTTTTGTATTTTTTTTTTAGATAAAAAAATCTCCTAAGTATAAATACTTTGTAATATAAAGTATAATAAATACTTAAAAATAGTAGTTATTTATAATATGGAGATTTTGTAAATTAAAAAATATATTTTGAAAAATATTTTAAATAAATTACGCATGTTGTTTACGAAAAATAACTCATGTAAAATTATAACAGATTTATACGTAATGCGGGATGCGGATACGGGTTTTTTATAATTCAATAGGAGTATTTCTCCCCTACACTCGATTCCTTCTTAACACACAAAATAATCTAAACTTTCTAAACAGCAGAAACTGCCTCATATTATGCTCGACTTTTTAGTTACAAAAAACATTTAAAAAGAAAAAATTATTTCAACATATTAGTTTTTAATTTTGAAAACAGTACAGTTTTCCTTTACAATAGCAATTTATATGCAAATTACTTATAAGCATTATTTTGTATTAAAAATTACATTGGGAATAGTGATCAACCGAAACCTAATTCGGTATCGGTTTCAGCCGAAATTTCAATTTGAACCGGTACCGAAATTTCGGTATCGGTACTTTTTATAAATTCGGTAAAAGGCAATACATCGGTTGAAAAACATACCAAAATCTGAAGCATTTTTAAGATAATAAATTTTTATTTAATTTCGAAAAATAGTTTCTTTTGAAAATTTGCACAAAATATTTTACTATTTATTTTTATTTAATAGTAAAATATTTTTGCACAAAATATTTTACTATTTTTAAATGTTCTTTAAAAAAACATTTAAAAAGAAAAAATTTTTAAAAAACATTTAAAAGAAAAAATTTTCAAAAAACATTTAAAAAGAAAAAATTATTTTTCTTATCTGATGTAGAAAGTTGTATTCTTCACAACATGAAAATGAATTTAATTATAAAACATTTTGCTACAAAAAAGTAATTAAGTTACTTTTAAAAAAAACACAAAACAAGTTAGATACTGATCATCTGTTATATTAAACTTTATCAATGGAAATTTGTGACATTCTTTTGTTGACGAAAGGTTGTTTTTCAGCGCATGATTATAGTTTTTTATATGACAATAAATTTGTTGCTATTCTTTGTCAATCCACTTGTTTAGTGCAACATTACTTGGTTAGAAAAACATGCAGAAAAACCTTCCTTTAAAGTTGAGTTATGCTTATACTCATTAGGCTTTTGGTCATAAGAGTATTCATTGTACAAAATCGATGATTCATGATGGTCAAAATATTCTTTTAGATTTTCGCAAGATAAGAAATCATTTCTTTAAGAAGTTTCAACATTCGACTTTTTTTCTATATGTACTGATGAAAATTCTCGTATTTTTTAATATTCCTTTTGGACTTGTCTACTGCGTCTCTTTTTGTATGCCCTTTTTGTAAAAGACATAAATGAATCTTTGTTCCTCGATAAAAACGATAAGTGCACAACCAATAAAACAATCTTTTGTGTTATTCAAAAACAAATACAAATATATATATATATATAAAAACAAATATATATAAAAACAAATATATATATATATATATATATATATATATATATATATATATATATATATATATATATATTTGTATGAGTGTTTTTGAATAACACAAAAAATTGTTTTATTGGTTGTGCACTTATCGTTTTTATCAAGGAACAAAGATTCATGTATGTCTTTTACAAAAAGGGCATACAAAAAAAGACGCAGTAGACAAGTCCAAAAGGAATATTAAAAAATACTAGAATTTTCATCAGAAATATTTTGTGAACTATAATAGCATGTTATTTTATTATTTAAAATTTATCAAAAGAAATAATCATTAATGTCTTCCAGAGGTTAAAATCTTCATGCTTTTTTCGAAATAAGTTTCCGCATGGTTTTTAAATGGCGGTCATTTATAATTATCGCTCCGTAAAATTAGTTTAAATTTTTTTCTTTTTTTTTAAAAAAATCTATAAAAGACATCTAAGTTTAGATGAAAAAAAAATTATCTATGCACGATCTATTTATTGCATCTAATATGCATCTAAAACAGAGCAAAAATAGTATCTCTAGAATCAGACGTCTTTTCTATCTCTAATATACGTCTAAAATATACGTATCGGCAATAGATAAAAATTAGACCAATTTTAGACGGTCTAAAAGACATCTATTGTTTGCTGGGTGGGTTTTGAAGCATTTTACAATATCTATTAGTGATCCTAAGTATGTCAATTACAATATTTACAATGGAAAAGTGTCTCGCGGATCTAATGATCCTAAGTACCAGACCGTCAGTGGCCTTTCGTTTCATCTCAAAACATGTCACACTCTTATTGGCAAAACGGCCCTGCTTCTGCAAAGCCTAAAGTTTCAAATGTTCAAGAAAAAAGTGATTCTGTTTCCAAACAAAACAAAAAAAGAACAGTTTCTAATTTCAACATAAAGTCTAAAAAGCAAAGAGCTGAAATGCTTCCATCTACTACGTCCTACTGGATTGAAACATGCACAAAAAATTGAATCAAACTCAAGGGGAAAAAAATTTCATAAGTTCATCTTAGAAATGATTTTTCTTGACATGCAACTATGATCAGTTGTCAATGAAGCTGGTTTTTTGCAACACCACGCTCTAATTGCTCCAACTTACGAAATCGCAAGTGCTAAATATTTCAAAAGCGTGTTGGACCCTACATACGATAAGATAAAGTATGCTCTAAAAAATTGTTTAGCAGAAGAAAAAGTTATAAATATATCAATTGGCCTTGATGCGTGATCAAACTTTCATCATGGTTATTTAGGGATAACGATTCATTTCATTTCTAAAGACTAGGAACGAATGAGGTTCTGTTTGTCATGCTCCAAGTTTAATGAACTTTATACATCACCAAACATTTATAAAAAAATTCAAGAAACAGCCAAAGACTGGAACATTACTCCTATATTATCAAAGCCTACATTAACTAATCTATTTTTTTCTTTTTTAACAGAGGCTTTAAATTTTCGTTCTGTTCTATTGTGCAAGCCATCATTAATTAATTTAAAACGAAAGAACTACCTATTTATGTTAACGCTATTGAGTTATGTTAACGCTTGCAATCCAGTTTATATATGTTCTTACTTTACCTGATGTTATTGTACTAATCCCAAACAAAACAAATGTAATAAATACTTTAAATAAGTTTTAATAAAGATTAAATGGTCTTTAATACTACATTTATAAATATAGGTGTTTTATAATCATTTATATACAATACGTTAAAATACCTGTAGTTTTATCACATTTTAGTTTAAACTTATACCAATCACCGGTTGTATTATATTTTAGATTTTTACTGCAAATTTCACTGAAATTTGCAGTAAAACATTGTTCGAATCAAAATGTGAAATTTTCATATTTCGATTTGGACAATGGACAAAACCATTCTTTATCCAACTTGATGGATTTTCATTCACACAAACAACATTGTCTTTATACAAACCAAAACATACTGGTCCACACAATAGTTTCAAAATTTCACACAATAATAAGGCTTTGATTGTAAATTTTACATATATATATAAAAAATCTTTAAATGATTTATATATTCATCTCTAATCCACCATTTTTAAATAAAATATGCAATGTAATTTACATTACTTTACAGTCTAATACTTTACATAGTATTTGTAAAGTATTGTACACAATGTAAAAAAACTTTTAAAAAACTTGTGTATAATGCAAGTTCTTATATATTTTTTAATTTTTATAAAATTGTCCATATTTTCATAGCGTAAAATCTTTTAATATTTTTACTTTCACAACATTAACACTTTTATTAAAAGTTCTTAAAGAACTTTCCCACGCACGCATGGGCGCCCGCAGAATTTTTTGATGTGTCAGATAAGACACTTTCACACATTGTGCAAACTCCAAAACTCCAAACTAAAGTATGTTCATACCTATGCCAAATGAGGAGGCCTTGCACAAATTTGGTATGGCGGAGGCCTAGGAACAAAAAAGCCCCAAAACGCTTGCCCCCTACCCAAACGTGAAGGCACTAATGTAGTAAATTTTTTAACTTAACTATTTTAAATTAAATTTAAATTTATCGACAGATTTTAAGTTTCGTAAAAAAATATTGTAAATTACAAAAGTTATGACTATGCAAATTTTCCGCTATGTAAAATATCTCATTATTAGTGATACAATAACATTTCAGTTTTTTTTAATGAAAATGTTGTGATCGATAGCATCAAAAGCTTTAAATAAGTCTGTAAAAATATTTAAAGTAGTTTTATTGCGATTATTGAAAGAAATCTGTAATGCATTGAGTTGAACTACTGCGTGTTCAGTAGAGTTATCTTTTTTTTTCAAAGCCATATTTATATATTATTTACAGAAAAATTGTTAAGTATTTGGTTGAATATAGTTCTTTCTAAAATTTTGGAAAATAAAAAGGAGATGTCTGAGTTTGGACAATTGAGCCGTTTATTTTGAAAGCGGCATAAGATACTTTTTTTCAAACGAAGATTTTTAAAGGTTTGTGTTTTAACATATATCGTTAACTAGCAAAAATATCTCAATAATTTTCAACACAATTGATTTAAATTATTTTACAAATGTAGAAATACTGTTAGATTGTTATCATTGTTATCAATAACTTGAATTTTTTGAAAAGGTGACTTATGCCACTCTCAAAATAAACGGTCAACTGTTACTAACATTTGTTAGATTGTCTCCTTTGTATTTTTGATTGTAAATCATTTTTGGTTAAATTAAAAATTAACAAATTGTAAATTTGTTAGAATGGAAAATATAATGCTAAATCAGATTTTGAATAAAAGCTTCTAAAAACCTCCAGGTTTATTTTTATATTTTTATGTTTTTTTTTTTTTTTTTCGCAATTCAGTATAAGCTTGGTGTCTACGCCAAACAAGCTGCAGCTTGTTTTTCTTGTTTATTTAATAGTGGTAATAATGATTTTTTTTCCATGAAAAAAAACCCGCATCATTACCACTATTAAATAAAGAACCAAAACAAGTCTCGTTTAGAAAAGTTTCATTTAGTTATGGATAAAAATCTTTAAAGTTTAAAGAGTACATCCGAAACTCAATCACACTTTTTCCACACTGTTTTACATATTCATTGTGTGCCGATCGAGGTTTCCTTTGTTTTAAATAACAACAATTATTTGACAACCAAAAACGTAAGACAAATAAAAACAAATGAATATAAATTAAAAAAAAATTAAAAAATGACTAATATAATAGAAAGACATTTTCTTAATTTAAAGTTTTCAAATAAATGCTTTTATTTTCTGGTTCCTTCACCTCTTCTCTATAAAAAATGGAAACTTGCAAAAGTATATTTAACGTAATAAATTTAATTTATGAAATAAATAATCATATAAAATAGCAAATAGCAAATAGTTTGATAATCAGTGAATAAAATAAACAGTGAATAGAGAAAAAGTTTATTGGTTTTTTCGTTCAAATTAATATAAAAAAATCAACTTTTGTACATTAAATTAAAAAAATATTTAAATAACATTTAAAAAAATAAATAATTTAAATTATTCTTCTAAAAAATTAATCTATAATAAATAATCAATTTAATTGATTGATAAAATCAATAATGATGATGCAATAATTTGCAAAACAGATATTTTTACTAAATGGTAAAATTATTTGAACATAAAATTAGTGTTATTTCATTAAATGAGAGTTTGATAAGGCTCGCGCAAAATATACGCGCAAATGGACTCGTATTACTCTGATATAAAAATTTGAAAACTTATTGTTTAGTATAATATAAATAATAACTATAAGTTTAAAAAAATTAACCAAACAATCTGTTTCTTAAAACCTAAGAGTTTTTAAAAAAGATTGAGTCTTTATTTTTATTTTAACAGAAAAATCGTTATTTTTATACAAGAAAAGGCGATTATGTAGATACTCTAAAACCCGTTTCTGCATTCAGTTCTTTTTAAAAACTTTTGCGCGGAAAATTTTTTGAGCTTGCACAAACAGCGCTAAATAAAAAAGGTAGCGGAAAAATGCGACAAAAAAAAATTTCCTTGAACTTTTTTTCAACATTGTTTGCGCATGTTCGCGGAAATTACCAAATAAAAATCTAAATGAAAAATCTGATTTAGAGTCTTTTTATTTTTTTAATCTATTTTATTTTTAGTTACAGGTGTTCCTAGAAAACTTAGGTCTTCTAAGTAAACCGTTAGGTACCCATTGGTTTTCTCAAAGTAAGAGCATTTAACCATAAAAATCATGCCTCCTTTCTAACCAATATTTTCATATACTTTGAAAATGTTAACTAGTTTTGTGATATATTTAAATATTGTTATAACCTGCATCTTAAGTTGTTATAACCTTTATCAAAAAATTTGACATCTTATTTGAGATATCCTTAAAAATTAAACCCCTTTTTTTATTAATTAAATTAAAAATCTATCTTATGCAAACTTCTATAAAAAATGTTAAAGTTTAAATGGATAATATTCAATTAAATTAAGATAATAACCTGTTTTCAAAATAGTTTAAAACGTATTTTAAACCAATTTAAAAACTCCAAAAATGTGTGTACAATAGTAAAAGATTTATAAAAAATATATTTCGTATATTTCGTATCATATTTTTCTGAACAGCTTTTTAAAAATTTCAAATTTTTTGTTAATATTATATTTGGTTAATTAAATATTTCACTTTTTTGACTTTGTTTCTAAATTTTTAATTTATCTTCATACTCTTGAACATTTACGTTGTGCAGAAACTTTTGGGGTAAATTAGTTTGCAAAGTTTTCCTAAAGTTCAACTAAAAATAAACCGTTACACATAAACAGTTAGATTTTCAAGGGAAAAAGCATAAACAAAATGAAAAGTTAGTATGTAAGTGGAATGACTGACTTCAACACTACACGAAAATTCACCTCTATATTCAAGTTTTAGGTTTTCTTTTGTATTGAATGTTTGTGTTATTTGACACAAGCGTTCTTGAAAAAGAAATCTTTAAGTTGCCAAATCTATGTGTGCCCTTATTCCTTATTACGAAATATTTAGATTTTTCCAGCAACTGAAATGGCGCTTGTTTCCCACAACTGTGACGCTTATTTATTATTAAAATATCATTATAAACAAATACATTATACAAAAAAATGCCTACTAAAAACATAAAAGGCATTTATAATTTAAAGCGTGAATAAACTCTAGATTTAAATATTAATAAATCTTTAGTGATATAAATATGCGACAGTTACTTCTTTAGTAAAAAAAGCAACCAACAGTTCAAGATCGTTTTAGATCTACATAGTTTATCTTCGTTTAAGAAGTTTTTTTTATTTCTCTTCGTTTTTGAAGATTTTATTTAAATCAATTTTTGGTTTATCAAATCAATTTCTCTGAGGAAACTTTATCTGTTTAATAGATAAATATTCAATCATGGGTGTTTTAACCTCAGGTAAAAATTATCATTATAAAGACTACATAGTTTTTATTTATTTATTTATATATTAAGCATAGCAAATTAAGTTATTATTTGTTTAAAATTTTTCATTTGATTTTTATAAAAATAAAATTGTTTAAAGAGTTTTATTCTAAAAGCATATAAATAAATACTTGGTTTTATTCTAAAAGCATATAAATTAACACTTGGTTTTAATCTAAAAGCATATAAATTAACACTTGGTTTTATTCTAAAAGCATATAAATTAACACTTGGTTTTAATCTAAAAGCATATAAATTAACACTTGGTTTTATTTTAAAAGCATAAAAATTAACACTTGGTTTTATTCTAAAAGCATATAAATTAACACTTGGTTTTATTCTAAAAGCATATAAATTAACACTTGGTTTTGTATTCTTTAAGTATCAAGTTTATTGACATTTTTAAACATTTTTTATTAACTAGTAACGTAATTTTAGTTTAAGATTAATAATATTTAATGAAAGTATTAAAAAATTCAATAAAGTTACCGTTAAGGTATAACGATTAAACGTAATTTTCGAGTTATAGCAGGTAGAGGTATTGTTTACTATGAAACCAAACTCTTTGGCAGATTTTTTGTAGCTTTCTCATTAATTTATAGGTTTTCAGAATCAGAATCTATTACCAATATTACTTATATAAAACCGTTTTCAAAAAGTTGAACATTAAATAAAAAATATTGGTAGACATTATGGTATAAGGATTAACTCTTATAAGTATAGATAATAGCAAAATTAGGCGTTTAGATTGATGTCTTGCAGAACTGTGCGCCTATACAAAATTATTAAAACCACAACTGCTACCTTCGATGGCTACTAGAATCTGTTATTGTTCTGCTGCTATTTCAGATTTCCGTAGCAGTGATACCTAGAGTAAAAAGCACCCGATAAAAATACTGCTATGGTTTAGTAGAGTTTCTATATATTATTGCAATAAAAATATAAATACAATTATAATTATAAAATATAATAACAAGAAACTAAAATATTTTATAAAGTTAAAATAATAAGTTAAAAAATAAAACATATAAACTATATAATTTTCCGCTTTTTTTTTTTTAAAGAAAACATTTCAAAAATACATTTTTCTGCACTAAATTTATTTTTATAATCTATTTTCTATAATAAGAAAAAAATAATATTGTGGTAATTTTACCTTCTTATTAACTTGTTTTATTGTTTTAATGAGTTGCAATGTTTCAATTTATTAGGAAACATTCGCTCACTTACTTATGAAGAGATTCAGATATGGAAAGAACACATAAAGACCCACGGTTTAATTCAGTTCATAAACTGGTACAACAAAGTAAAGGATATTAACTACGATACTTTGAAATGGGGAGATGAGGTACATAGAATTTTTTTCGATAACCTTCAAACAATAGTATCAAAGTTCTTAAAATGATTTTTGTTTCTAAAAATATAAAAAAATTAAAAATAAAAAAATTATAAGAAATTACTATTTTTTTAATGCAAAACGCATCTGTATTAGTTGACTTACTAATAATGTTATTACTCATAATATCATTACGAATCGCTAACTGCAATTATCGTTGAAGTTACTAGTAACATATTTGAGCAATATTGTTGTTGTTAATCAAATTTAATACTTTAGATTGAAATGTTTATGATCAAGATTATTGATGAGGAAAAATCTGCTCCTCTTCTAAATAAGGCAAAAGACCTTCTTGAAATATTACAGCAAGCAGAAAATGATAATCCAGGGTATGTAGCAGACTTTATTTTATTATATAAAAAACAATAATAAAATCAAAAGACACTTTGCTTGCAGTTAAATGTAAGTGTAACTGTTAATGTTAGATAAAATTTCTTCTATTAACAGAGAAACTGAAACAGCCTGGAGACCAGAAATGTGTGAATATATGATGGAATGTATGTCAAATTTTTTTTTGGTTTACTGTTATTATTATAACAACAACTATAAATATATTTGTATATATATATATATATATATATATATATATATATATATATATATATATATATATATATATATATATATATATATATATATATATATATATATATATATATTCTATTTAGCATCTCCTGGAATGCCATATGGTGGCAATATTGCTCATTTTAATACAGTTGAAGCAAATATGACACTTAGGTATAATGGTGGTTTATCAATAACTTTGTTTTATTATGTTATCAAATTACACAGCGTTTTACTTATTTCATGATTAAAACTATAATCAATTCGTGTTTCAAGAAAGAAACTAGTAACTTATACTTAACCAATAACTTAAGTGTTTATGAATTAGACTATTCATTTGTTTTTATGTAAAATCCACATCATATTTTGTACCATTATACTTATTTGCACATTAGATAACAATGTATTTTAATATTATAATATTTCAAGTACTATTTCATAAAAACCTTTTGTAAAACTTAATGAATTGCAAAACGTAGTTTCGAATGTTGACTTTAAAACTATGTAAACCAAGATTTTAATATAACCAAATTATAATTTTACATATTTAGGAGGAAAGAATTGTTGTCCCTCTTAAGTGGAAAAGGTGAAAATGTTGTCACGGTTTCAACATACCCAAGGTAATTTTTGAGTTTTATTGGTTTTTGATTTTTTATGGGTTTGCTCCGTCAGCAAAACTTTAATATTTTAATGAATTTTTGTTTTATTACAAAAGGCTTGGAATACCAGATGATTTTTACCCACCAATTCAGTTTAAGTATGAAAACAATGACGTAACTCGATCATTGTATGTTCCAGATGAAGTTCTTAATCAGCTTCATCCACGGTTCAGGTATATTTATTTTTAAATTTAAAGTTAAATAATGTTTAGCATTAAAGAATTTTAATATATGCTTGATAAAGTTAAATATCTATGTAAAAGTCTTATTAAAAATTCGAAACTTTAGGAACCTAGCAAAAATGATAACAATGCGCAAACAAAGAAAAGTCTACGGGGAAGTTCCAAGTCAGTTCTTGTTTTATGTTCTTGTTTTATCTTTTTTAAATTATATATGTATATATATATATATATATATATATATATATATATATATATATATATATATATATATATATATATATATATATATATATATATATATATATATATATATATATATATCTTTTAATTAAATTAATATATTTATTTATTAGTTTTCCGAGATGTCAATACTCCAAATCCTTTCCTTGAAGAAGTACCCGATTTTGCTGTTGAGGATAAAGCTGTTTTAAAGCCTAACCATGTTCATTTAGACTCAGTGGTACTTGGATTAGGCTGTGGCTGTCTTCAAGTAACACTTTTTTCTATTTTTGTAATATTTAATTAAACAAAAATTTTAATTCGTATTTGCTTCAGATAAAATGCGGGTGATGCAGATAGATAGAGAAAAAATGATCATATTTTGGATTCCTTGAAGCCAGGGGACCAAGAAACTTCACGCCGCCTGAGACTGCTTTTTTTTAAGTTACCTTCATTTTATTTGGCACCCCTTGGACATCTGCCGCCCGAGGCAAATTGTTCACCCTGCTTTTTGTCATCCTAATGTAGTTTGACGCATGTTCCTTTCTTTAGATGGTATTACATGCTATTCTTATAGGAATCTATGCATCTTAGTTTTTTGCACATTTGTTTCTTAAGTTCAAAGTTCATTTATTATAATTCCCATGTTTTTCACGTTTAAATCGGCTTAACTTTTTCAGACATTTTTCACAATATGCGAGGTTCTACTTTTATCTCCAAATTTTAGTGTTTTGAAATAAAATTATTTAAAAAATAAAAAAATTTAAATTAAAAAGATTTTTTTTCTTCATAAGTTTTTTCTGCAACTTTTTTTATAAAAACTTTTATTAAATTTTTTATTAAAACTTTCTATTAAAGGTTTTAATAGAGCAAAAAAACTTTGAGGTACAAAACACAATCAATAATTCGATTTTTTCAAAAAGCGGAGAATGAAATAATTATAACTTTGCGAATACGCGCTAAGGAAGTTGAAAAATGTTTAGCTTAAGTTTTTAACTAACTTAAGTAACTTACAAAACGTCATAATTGCTAGCGTAAATAACTCTTAATTAAATTCAAAGTTAAAAAATCGGTCGTTAAAAATTTTCATAAAAGTGCATAGAAATCTTTATAGCATTTTCTAATATATATAAAAGAATACATATCCATAAAAGAAAAAAAAAAAGTATATTCATTGTATGAAGAAAACTTATTTTACTCATTTATTAACATTATCCAAGTAATTTGATTTGAATTAAAGTTTTCAGTTAAATCATTTTTAAAACTAATTGATTAAACACGCAAAATTTGTTTTTGAGTAAAAGCTTTTTAAGCTAATCTAGTTTTCAATAATTTAGTTTTCCTAAGAAATTCATTTTTAAAAAATGTTCGTAGAACGTAAAATTCGTAGAACATAAAAAATGTTCTTAGTGTTATATCAATTTCACTCTAAATAAAAGTTTTATTTAGCTTAAAAACATGATTTTAAAGATTGCGAAGTTGAAATCAAACCAAATAAGGAATGAGTTTAGAAGATATTGAAAAGTAGACGTATGTTGCTTGTAAGTACGTCATGACGTACTAACACGCAAATTAAGTTCTAATCATGGAGTTTCTACGTGTGATTCGTTCACTAAAAATTACAGTCAAAATGGTACCTGTTTTTAGCTATTTCGGTCACATTTATTACAGTGTGATTGCAGTGTGGTGCAAAAAACATCAAACATATTTTTATGCTATTCCAATTGAAAAAAGTTTGTTTATAGTACTTAGGAATCAGGGGGAGTTTTAACTTATTCTAAATAGATTTAACCTTTAAGTTTTAACTTATTGTAAGTTTTAACTTATTCTAAATAGATTTAGCCTAAATTTACGCTTACCTTAGTCTAAATATTGTTTTTCATACATTAGTTCTTTATTTTTTAATCTTCTAGTAAGCTAGTAAGAAATTTAGAATTTTATTTGATTTTAATCTTACAATATTACTGCTAAGATGAATGCAAAGCTTGTATAATTTTAAAATGCTTTGTTGACAAAATATTTTGAACATTACTAGGTTACCTTTCAAGCATGTAATGTTCCAGAGGCTCGTATTCTATATGATCAACAGGCAGTTCTAGCTCCAATAGTTGTAAGTTAATTTACTTTAAGTTCTCTTTAATTCATAGTATGATTTCAATGCATAACTTGAGTTTACTTATAATATTGTAATATTATAATATTTAATGTTTTTAATTTTACGTTAAAATATTTTTTAACAAGGTTTTTCTTTTTCCTAGATGGCATTATCTGCAAGTTCTCCGTGTATTAAAGGTTATTTGCTAGATACTGATACAAGGTGGGAAAACATTTCAATGATGTGCGATGACCGAACCGAGGAAGAGCTTGGTTTGAAAGTAAATTTTATTTTTCATATTTTTATACTAAATATATTCTAAAACATAAAATAAAAAAGACTAATAAAAAAAAATACTAATAATAAATAAAACGATACTAAAAAATCTAAGTAAAAATATTTTTATAAAAAGTGTAAAAAAAAAAAAGAAAAAAAAAGAAGAGTAAATTGAAGCGCAGTAAAACCAATATACGCATTGTAAAAGTTGTATATATACTTTATTTTTTGCAGCCATTAAAAGATCAAAAATTCCGACTACCAAAATCAAGATATAGCTGTGTTGATATGTATATTTCTCCTGACGGCGAAGCTTTTAATGATATGCCTATTTTTTACCACGAAGAGCATTTAAAGCTTCTTCTTGACGGAGGTAAGAAATAAAGTTATTCAAGGTATATACGTTTTGATATATTTTTATATAGCTTTTATTAACATTAAACTTAAATAAAAATGAGTCATAATATTTTTTTAAGGAATTGATGAACAACTTGCAAAACATGTTGCCCATCTTTTTACTCGTGATCCTCTTGCTGTATACGAAGAAAAACTGCATATTAGTGATGAAGACGAAGTTGATCATTTTGAGAATATAAATTCTACAAATTGGCAATCTGTTAGATTTAAACCTCCACCACCAGGAAGTAACATTGGATGGAGAGTTGAAATGAGACCAATTGAAGTGACTTTTAGTTTTTTTTTCTCTGAAAATAGTTTAAATTATTATTTTTAAAATCATAAAGTTGATGATATTATTTTTTACTTTTTTTAGACTCAACTGACTGACTTTGAAAATGCTGCATATGTCACATTTGTTGTACTGTTAACTCGAGTTATTTTATCCTATGATTTAAATCTCATTATTCCAATGTCAAAAGTTGAAGAAAATATGAAAAGAGGCGTAAAGCGCGACGCAGTATTAGAGCAAAAGTTTTATTTCAGAAAGAATCTAGAAAAATGTAGCTATTTAAATTTGTTGCCTTTCCAGTTTCTGTTTTTGTGTATGTGTGTGTTTTTTGTTTTATATTATGGTTTTGAATGGTGCTGAGTTATTTTACACTTTATTTTTAAAAATTTTTATACAATTTTGGTTTCTATGATTTAGCTGAAAATGATGACGCTTCTTATGAGGAAATGACCATGAACGAAATAATAAATGGAAAGGTTAGTATTTCTTAAATGTTAATTATTATAAAGTTTCTTTAAAGTTACATTGAGTTACAATTAGCTATTAAACAAATCATGAAATTACTTTTATTTAGGGAAGTGAGTTTCCTGGCCTAATGAATGTAATCGAGTTTTATCTTAATCATTTGGATATTGACGTTGATACAAGGTGTACAATAAGTCAATATCTAACACTAATAAGAGCCAGGGCGTCAGGTAAATAAATATGTTCTTAAAGAATTTTATAAATTAAAGGTTTTTCATGTTGTAGAATTTATTTTTATTATTTAGGAGAGGTAATGACAACTGCAAAGTGGATTCGCTCATTCATTCGTTCACACCCTTTATACAAATTTGACTCAGTTGTTTCCAAAGAAATTACATATGATCTTATGAAAAAATGTGTCAAAATTAGTAACGGAGAAGAAAGCTGCCCTGAACTGTTTGCTGATGCAAAAACAAAAACTTGCTCTCATGTACCCGAATCTTGTAAAAAAATGCTGGAAGAAGTCGAAAAAATTACTAAATGTATACGTCAAGAAAGAAAACAAGAGTTAATAGCTTAACGATAATATAAAATCTGTATAATAAATTTGGGCTAATTTTTTCTGTTAAAGTAATGAAGTGACATTAAAACAGACATAAAATTGAAATAGCTCTGCGCATTTAAAACGTTGTTGGTAAAAAAAAATATATATTTCAAAGTTTCAAGACTGATGATCTCGCCAGATAGTGAAACTTTTAAATCAAACTTTGTCAAACAAAGGTTTAATTATGTAAGTAATTTAAAATAAAAAAAGACATAAAAAATATAACTTATGTAAATAAAATAGCAGTAATAACATAAACAACAAAATAGAAAACTTAAAAAATGTAAAATAGAAAATATTTTAGTCAATTTTTAACAAAACTGTAAAAAACGTTTTTTTACCACTTGTATTTATTAAAGGTTTATTAAGTGGAATAAAACAAATCTATAATTTAAATTTTTGTTTTCTATAAAGCTACAGCGTAATAAGACGGTAAAACGAAATGCTATAAAATTAAAATTTTTACAAGGAGTGGCTAGAAATGACACCCGATTTGGGAGGCTAATAAGGTGCAAAACATTACAAGTATATATAATACATAAACTTATAAATATATCAAACATATATAAAATTATATTGACAACCGTTATAAATAAGCTTTATTAATAAAATCTAAAAAGTTAGAGATGTTAGTTTACCTTTTATTTTTTTACAAATATATTTTAAAATATAAATATTTTTTTGTTTTTTTTTTAAGTGCCCCAAGAAGACCTAATATATAGGTCTTCCTGGGGCACTTAAAATATATATAATATGCAGCCCATATGGGCCTTAATTCACGCCAAGCGACAATTTTCCTTGGGCGGGATGTAAGCAACCCGATTGGGCCCCATAAAGCTGCCCACTTGGGCCCCATATGGAACCAATATAACTTGCTGGCTGGGAAGAGGCTACCTATTAACTGTTTTACAAAATAAATAATTCCACTCTACTTGTACTCCACAATATATATATATATATATATATATATATATATATATATATATATATATATATATATATATATATATATATATATATATATATATGTATATATATGTATATATATATAAATATATATATATATATATATATATATATATATTTATATATATATATATATATATATATATATATATATATATATGTATATATATATATAAATATATAATATATATATATATATATATATATATATATATATATATATATATATATATATATATATATATACCCACTTAGAAATTTGTTGCCCATGCTGCCCACTTAGCCCAGCAAGTCATATTGGGCTAAGTGGGCAGCATGGGCAACAAATTTCCTTGGACGGGATGTGGGCAACCCAAATGGGTTGCCCACATCCCGCCCAGGGAAAATTGTTGCTGGGCGTGAATAAGGGCCAAAGTGGAAGTCCAAATTGGCTGCATATTTAGGACCTACATTATTTAGTATATTACATAGTGGTCCCACTTTTTTTGTTTATTTAAACTTTTTATAAAAAATTGAATAATTATTTTTTTATTTTTATATTAGATACATGTATAATATGTAATCATAAATATATGACCTGAGCCTAGATTTATAGAAGTATAACAGGAAATCAAATATACGAAGAAAAATGTAAACAGTAATAAATATGATTAAACATGCCAAAGTATTTAAATATTAAAATAGAATAGTAGGTAATAGTCAAATTTAAATAAAAAAAGAGAATTTAAACCTTTAGTGTAACTACAAGGTAAATGAGTGTTAGTTCTCTTCAAGACGTATTTATACACGTTTTTGCTTGTGGGTTAATAAAAATTCAAATAAATACACTTTCAAAAACCTTTTTATACATATAAATAAAATTTTTTCAGTCTTTTAAAACTGACTAAGTAACTTTTTGTTTAAGTTCTCTTAAATGTTTAAAGAAATAATTATCAAATACAATTTAAAGCTCTTTTACTACCACTAATACACGACATTAAAGTTCACTATTACAGAGTCTTTAAAATGACTTTAAATAAAAAGAAGATTTTTCGAAAAAGAGTTAACTTGAATTTTGTTTAAAATTTGAGAAAAACTTTGAGACGTAATTACATTTGAGAAACGTAAGAGGGTTTTCATAAATTAAGTGTGGTATTGTGATTTATACTCCTCCAGCTAATTGCCTTGCGGAGTACTTCATACCATCGCGTGCACATTAAACCAGTATTTTACATTGTGAGTACCGTGGTCTTCGTACGGGTTGAGATTGTTGGGCAAAAAGAAGACATTTTAGTGAAAGGCAAATATATTAGAGTTAGAAAGATAGCATAGAGAAAGACAAATTGTTCATTTTAGAAACTCATAAACTAGAAAACGCTAAGACCGATTAAGGACTTATATTTTTAGTGTATGTTTTTTGTTTGTTTGCCCAAGTGGGCTCTATGTGGATTTTATATATGGGCCCGAATTGGGCCCCATGTGGGCTGGCCTTTAAATATAAAACATTTTGTATTCAAGGGCTAAATCGGCCCCATGTGGCCCTAAATGGGCTACATGGGGCCCATATAGGGCCCATGTATCTAATAAAACAGACCACATGGTAACTACTTACAAAACGAAAAATTTTGCTCTATCACTGACAATTTCTATGCATCACAGTTATGCTCTACACTAACAATTTTTTCACAAAGCACAACAATTAATAAAATTTACCACCCTCGATTATTGATTACTTTTTATGTTTATGGTTATTACATTTTATTTTGATTAATTTATAGCATTTTACTTCTTAGAGGCTCTTTGTTTTCCGTTAGACATTTCTTTTGGACTTTTATCTCACTCTGTTACACCCTTTTTAACTTATTATGCATCTCTAACGTGTTTACTGCTCAGTGCAGCTTTTACTAAAATGCATTGCATTGACAAAAAAAAGATAATTACTTTTGCATGGTATCCACTCACTAGGACAGTTAATTTTGAAAACATGCGTAAACTGGTGATCGGGAGTTTTTGGGCCAAAATTTAACTGTGTTTATTATAAATTATTGTAGATTATTGTATAGATGAGTTTCCGTTCAAAGTTGCATCTTTTGTAAACAATATGCGCGCGCAAACTTCTAGATAGAAAACATTATGAGTATAGCCGGTGGGAAAAAAGCTAGCGACTAGCTAGTTTTTGTGGGAAATAAGGTATAATAATATAATATAATATAATAATAGCTATAAAATAAGCTAAGCCGGTGGGAAATAAGCTAGCGACTAGCTAGAAAGTAGCATACCAGCTATCTTTATAGCAATTTTCAAGCAATTTTTTTTTCTCATTTTATATTTGTCTAATGTCTTTACCATTTTTAAAAATTCGATTTTTAGTGTTGAGTCTATTATTATTAGAGAATAATTAAACATTGAACCTTTTGTAGCAATGTATTGCTAGCTAAATACTGTATTTTTGTAGCTAGTGACAAAATATCTACAAATCTATAGCTGGTTGATAGTGCATATCAAAATTTTTTACACACTAATTTTATTACAATATGACGCTAGTTACAATAGCCAGTGGGTATTTAGCTAATTAAGCTAGCTGTCCTCGTAGCCAAATTGCTGTCTTTATCTTTACAAATATCGATATATCGTTTTTTATCGAAATATCTTTTTTATGTTAGCGAAAAGCTGTCGAGCTTTTCGCTAACTTAAAAAAGTTAGCAATCCTCGTGGTCAAATCGCTGTCTTTATCATTACGATTATAGTCGACTATTCGCCAGTTTCCCTCGGGTATAATATATTTATGAGTATACATTATATATGAATATAAATTCATAGTTAAACTGCAAAAAATACTTATAAAGTGTTTTTTTAACACATAGTTTTGCCAATTGTAATAAGCAGTCGTACTTCTAAAGTACTAACAAATCAAAAGAAAATGGCAGGAAAATTGACAGGAAATGCCATAGACCTAGTTTTCAACAAGTAAATTTAAAAACGAATTTTTAAAACCGTTTATATGTTATTTAAATCACAAGTTTTGCTATATTTTTTTTCTGATATTACTATTTTATTTTATTAACATTCTGCTGTATGCGTGTGAAAAAATTGTGTGGCAGGTCGAACCCTACACATTCCGTTTTGTCCAAATGAGCTAAACACACGTATAAGTAGGAGAACAATTAATTGACTTATTTTAAAAATTATTATTCAGCTTTCCATATAAAAAATAAACATAATTAAAATTAACTAAATTAATTGACTTATTACAAAACTAATTATTGAATATTGTATTGACATCAAGCAAGATATTCAAAATTTGAAGAAAATCTATCATCAGGAAATGACTCAAAATTTGATGGAAGATTTGATGCTCACATACAAACAAACAGACAGAGACGACAAGTTAATAATAATAGTATTGGTAAAAAAAATATAGCATTATAAAAAAATTAAATAATTTTAAATACTTTACACTTGTGTTGGAAAACAATGAGTTCAGGTACAATACAAAAATTACTAAATGACAATAGACAGTTAAAACTAATACCCCGTCCTTTAAAACTAATACCCTTCTTTAAAACTAATACCCTGCTTTAAAACTAATACCTTCCTTTAAAACTAATAGCTTCCTTTAAAACTTATACCCTCTTTTATAAACTAATTCAATTTTTTTAATTCAAAATTATTGACCCTACTTTAAAATATATTTAGATTTTTAATATGTAAATAATAATACAATCCTTTTCTATAAATATACTTTTGTTGTTTATAAAATAATCAGGGTATCTAGCAATCTGGACATCCTGCTAAAGTCAGGAAATTAAATAAATTATGCAAAACTTAGAGAAATTTGATTTGGTTGAATCTATAAGTTATTATTTGAATTGACAATCAAAGTAAGATTGCAAAAATATATGTTTTTAAAGTCTCATAATTACATCATTAATTAAAAGTCAATGAGAGCACTTTTGAAGCAAGTTTGTGTTTTTGGGTAAAAGTAAAGGGCTATTTAAGATTTTTTGTTGCTTTGTCTGTTAAAGTTTTGATAAATTTTACATCGGATAGTCAAGGAAACTTTATGACTCAGGGAAAAGTCAAGGAAAATGAACATGAAAAATTTGCTGGCCACCGTGATTATATACATTTACATTAATCAACTACATTCATAAAGCGTGTACCCAAAATATGTGTGAAAGTAGAAAAACAACTTAAAAAAAGAACTCTATAAGAAAGTACTTTTATTTTTGCGCGTTCTTTTCATGAGAGGCTTGGGCTGTTCATAAAACTGTTAACCAATTTTCTAAACAGTTTTATACCTTGAAAAACTTCCTTACTTCCATTACCAGGTTTGCGTTTAATCGAATTTGATTGGGAAACACAATAAATAACATGATTAACAGTGCAGGGATTTATTTGCAACTTTTTCGGTATTAAGTTCTTCACACTTTTATTTACATCTTCCGAAT